AGAAGTAGGCTATTGTTTATTCTTAGTTCATGTTAACTAAAGTAGTTAACTAATGAAACAATATTGTAAATTGTTTCCAAAATAGTGTTTAAATTGTTACTGCCTTTAGTTATTATTTTTGAATAAATATAAAAATGCATAAAAACACTATGAAATGTATAATTAGTATAAAAACTATCTACCACACGCGAGTCCCAAGTCACTCTTTGCCTGAATGTTTATTAGCTACTGGCCAGGAGTCACTTTAAACACAGCAGAACGACACTATGACTAAAATATTACACACATATTTATATGTTAAGAAATGCATTAAAATACCAAGGTTACATGTGCACTTCATGATTGGTTCAATTCATAGCTCTACTAATCATCCATCCCTCTGTTACTGAGCAGATAGATTCCCCTTTATTAATCACTTCTCAAGTCTAGAGAATTAAATCATGAGTCAAACTAGTGTTAGCATAAATCTGTTGCATTTTCCTCTTGTTACGGTTTGCAGTAGGAGTTGTAGGAATGTGTTTTGAATCTAACAAAAATAACATGTTATATAAAACACAGGCTATCATTAAGACATGAATCCACAACTGAATTAAATAAATAAATGTCAGGATGAATGCAATGTCACTGAGATTTGTGAGTATTCATTAGAGATGCACACAGTATTTGACTGATAAATCATTAAATAGAATATCCATCACTTTATAAAGGAAAACACACTTTTCAAATCAGACATATTTTTATTGAAGAGATGGAGATGAATAGTGTTACATTGTTTCAATAACAAACATTTATAACACATGACTATTAATTATTGATTTGAGCTGTTTTTCTCGTTCTCTCTGCAGGTTGAGTTACTGCAGTATTGGAGAGGAAGGCTGTGCTGCTCTGATTTCAGCTCTGAGATCAAACCCCTCACACCTGACAGAACTGAATCTGAGCGATAATAAACCAGGAGATTCAGGAGTGAAGCTGCTCTCTGCTCTACTGGAGGATCCACACTGTAAACTGAAGAAACTACAGTGAGTCTCTTCACATCTCAGTAACTAAAAGGTTTCGAGTAAAAGGTAAAATTACACAAACGTGTTTTCCGTTAGCAGTGGTTTTGTTTGTTGCCCTCAGTTCAAACCCCTTAAATAAATTAATAATTTACTTTTGTTAACGGAGTACATTGCAGAATGTGTTTACAAAATACAGAATATTTTCTTTAAAAAAAGATTCTTACACTGCTTGAAGATCCCATTATAACTTAATATGGCTTTACAGTAGTCTCAATAAATATCATATTTTATTATATCTTGTGAGTTATATCTTTTTAAATACCAAGTTTCATTAAAAATGTGGTGATTATCTCTAAGGTGGACAGTAATGAACTTAAATAAATGCTGTTGTCTACGTTAACCATATCATGTCAACAAATGGAAAGTCAGACAGCTATTTATCACATGAGATAATATAGCTTTTTTACTCCAAATACCGTACTTTTCATATTCTTCAGTTATTGAAAAACTGTTGGTGTAATTACCTTCAACAAAACTGAAAACATTAACAAGACCTTTGTCTCAAAGCATATTCTGTAATTTGTTGATGCTCATTTGCTACATAAGTCTGTAATAATTTTAAATGAGCCTTTTACACGAGTCCTCATTTAGCCCCATTGTAAACTATCACACGCGAGTCCCAGGTCACTCTTTGCCTGAATGTTTATTAGCTACTGGCCAGGAGTCACTTTAAACACAGCAGAACGACACTATGACTAAAATATCACACACATATTTATATGTTAAGAAATGCATTAAAATACCAAGGTTACATGTGCACTTCATGATTGGTTCAATTCATATCTCTACTAATCATCCATCCCTCTGTTACTGAGCAGATAGATTCCCCTTTATTATTCACTTCTCGAGTCTAGAGAACTAAATCATAAGACAAACTAGTGTTAGCATAAATCTGCTGCATTTTCCTCTTGTTACGGTTTGCAGTAGGAGTTGTAGGAATGTGTTGTGAATCTAAAGGAACAAAAATAACATGTTATATAAAACACAGGCTATCATTAAGACATGAATCCACAACTGAATGAAA